GGGGTTTTTTCATTTTTTTGGGAGAGTATCATACTTTGTTAAACATGTTTTTATTACTATTAATAAAATATTATATCTTTCTATCGATTAAAAGAAAAAATTAGGAAGGGTAAAGTTGTTATTCACATATAGCTAGTCTAGGTATTTCTTTTTTTTTTTTGCTACTCTTTTTTATCATTAATAGGTTTGTTATTCTTAAACCATATTTTTTTTATCAGTAAAAAAGAGAATTTTATTAATGTATAAGAATGAAGAAGTACAAATACACCGTCAATAAAGAGGGTTAAGTGCAAAGAGCATGATAACTAAACATAAACATCCCAACAATGTTGGGCACCAAAATGTATATCCAATCATTTGCTAACACTAAATCAAGTTTAGTGAAAAACCAAACCAAAAGACAAAACAGAAAAAGAAGAGAGAAGAAAAGGAAGCTGTAAAACCCAAGTTGTGTGTAGGATTATTTTATTGGATAGATTAGTAATTAAATTAATTTATATGGGTCATTTATTAATATCAAAGAATTAGTTATGAGATGGCATTATATTTCCTATTACTTAGATGGGTAATTTTGTAACTTTGTGAAATTAGGTTAATATGCCCACCTATTGTGGCTTTAAGTCTTGGAAAACAAACAAAACAGAGGCTATGAATTGCTCCATAGGCGGCTAGGGTTTGAGAAGGTAAAAGAAAAAAGAAAAGAAAAAGAGAAGAGAGGTTCAAGTGAGGCTACAATAGGGATTGAAGGCAACACGTTGGTGATTTTTGGGACACCCATTGGTTAAGGTAAAATCTGTCTTTACTGTTAATTATTAAGTTTATGTTGAGGAATTTAACAATCAATGCATTAAGGAGATTTGGAAGATCTATAGGTGCCTACTTAGGTTTTGAGAATTGGGTGCAATGTGTAAGTGTAACTTTGGATGGGTAATAGAAACAATGGAGTTTTGTATCATGGGTAAAGGTGTGTTTGGCTATAAAGTTGGGTTGAATGGTTTGATCTCTTGAATATTAAAGTAATACATTAATCTAATATAGTGGTGCTTTTGTGAGTGTTTGTAACATGTAAAAAAATATTAATTTATTTGCGGTGTAATATTTTATTAGGTTTGTGAGATTGAGGTGGATCTTGGTAAATTGAGATTAGCTTGGAAAATATTATTTTAGCTGTTTGAAGGTAAGTAACCCTCTATCACTGTTGATTCATTTTTATTCCTATCGAATCGTTTAAAATCATAAATATTTATTTATAACCTTCATGTTCTCTTAAAATAAAATATAGGTCAAGTATAAAACAACATCGAATATTATTATGAAAATTATTTGAATATTTGATGAAACTATTTTGAAAATTGTACTAAACATTTATTCTGAAAATATCGAATGTTTTATTTGAAAGTTGTGTATTGTTTGAATTTTGAACATCACTCTAGTCTGACTATGATTTGGACCCTAGCCAATGGGGGTTATTTATTGGCACAGAAACTAGTTTCTTTTGGGGCTTTACACCGGCCTATGTGTGGGTTCTGGGCCTTGTCACGGGCTAAGTGACCGTAGTCAACCAGACTTGGGTTTTGTGAATTGCATCATTGAACCATTTGAATATCGAACCATCAATTTTGAACAACGAAATTTCATCGAATTACCTCATTGTCTTTTCAATTAAAATGTATTGCTACACTGTTTATTTTCAACTACGAAACCATCTTACAAAATAATTATTCATTTATTGAATGGTAGCAAAAAATATGATCTATTGGTTATCGACTATTTTTTTTGTATACTTGATCCAGCTAATAGTGATGGTTGGTTATTTACTGGGCTGTCTAGCTTACCCTTATTTTATTTTTCAGATTCTGAGGAGTAGAGCTGTGCAGGGTTTTTACTTGTGGGAGTGCCGAGAGTAGGACTATGATTTAAGTATTTGGATCATTATTATTATTATTATTTTTATTAGTGGACTTGGTGGACAATTTCATATGATAAGAATTATCTATTTGTATGGTTTTTAGCATTATGATATTTAAGGATTTAATTTGAGTATTTTACATTGTTGGTTATGTGTTGGATTCTTAGCCTTGCATGCTCACTTAAATGAGTGTGCGGCGTTGTCACGGAGCTTGGGGCGTGACAGAAGCACCACCCAACAAAACCAAAAACACAAGCATAGTCGAGCAAAACACCCAAGAGGAGCTACACTCGGACTCCACCCTTGATACACAATCTAACTTGACGAAGATTAAACAATCCTGGACAAATTACACTGATAGCGTATGTATTTTAGTTATTGTGTTATTTTGTTTTTGAAATTTTAATTGGCTCGAATTTGAACTTGAATTTGTGACTTTGTCTCAATTTAATCCAATTACTTACAAGTGTTAGCACTTTTTACTGAAAAATATGCACATACACTACAAAAAAAGAAGAAGAAGAAGGCTTTAGAGACAAATTTAGAAATTCAATTACTTTTTAGGGACCAAATATTTTTGTTGGCAAAAATATTTTCATTATTTTTTTAGCAACAAAAATTTTACATTAGTGATGAATTATTAACCTTTTGGGACCAAAATTTTGGTTTCAAAAAATAAATCCTTTTGGACCAAATTATTTTGTCCCCAAAAGTGTATTTATTAGTACATTTTAAAATTTTTTTACTAAAAGCCTTGTTTTTGACTTTTCGGAACAAACTTTTAATGACTATTCTCACGAAGATAGAAATTAGTTCTTAAATATTTTTGTAACAAAATTTTCATTTTTAGGGATTAAAAAATCTAGTCTCTAAATTTCTTATATGTTGTAGTGATAAGTGACATATGATGTGCTTTTAGAGACAAAATTATAAATTTGTTTAATTCAATGAGTTAAACTTAACTAATTCAATGATTATTTTCGTAAAAAAACACTAACAACATTATCAATTGAACTAAATTGATACAAAATCTAAAATTAAAGATTAAAATTAAGCCAATTGAAAGTATAAAGACTAAAATAGCATAAAAAGCAAAGTATAGAAATTATTGGTGTAATTTACCCTAAGATCATTGACAGAAAACTCCCAAGCTAGAGAAGAGTCCATATTCCTAAATCATTTATCCCTTATCTTATTGCATAAAATTTCTAGAATAATCATCATTTCAATCAAATTGTTTTATCCATTATAGAGAAATTATGCGACTTCATCATACTGGTATTCATTTGTAAGTAAAAATAAAAATTAGAAAATTGCTATTAAAAAAAAAAGGGAGAGCAACTGCAAGGATGTATCCATCAGAAAAAGGTTCCTTATGCTTATTCTTCATTGCGTTTAATCTTACTTTACTTATTTCATTCTGAAAAATTAAAAGGATAATTTAATAAATAAGTCAGTGTATTCTACTCTAGCTTGTTTCATGATGCTTCTTTGCATTTTTACAGGAACCTATTCTAGGGTAACATATGACTAATCAATTAATGTTTTTTATTTGGCTAGTGTTTTGCTTTAACAAAGATTTATGGATTGTTAATGGTTAATTATCTTGATAAAGTGGAGAATAAAATTCTTGATACCTCTTTCCATCGATATTTACCTCTTTTTTATAAGCAACCATGTCACTTATTTATCACTTTATGCACTTAATAATATTATTAATCCATTATAGACATGTCAATCATGCATTAAAAGGGGGAAACAAAAAGAAAAAAAAGAAAGAAAGAGAACTTTAACTATTGAAGCTGAACGCTTTCATGTTCATACAATTTTCAGGGCTTCAAAACCAAGAAAGATCTTTATGCTTGTTCAGTCTAAATGAGTGGGCGAACAAGGGAAAGGGGGGAAAAAAAAAATCAATAATTGGTATTTTTACTTTTGTGGATATATCTTAATTAAGGTTTTAATTTAGTTTATTTTTTCTTAGGTTTTGCTCTTTAGGTTTAGGATTCATATTTTTTTTTAATCAGCAAATTAAACTTTATTGATAAGAATTAAGAATAACCTTATATCATACATCAATTAAGAGATGACGAAGACCAAAGTAGGTGGTGCTATAAGCATCATAGCATAGCCTAATTATCCCAACTAAGTTGGCACAACAGGACATACCCAATCATTTGCAGCACTAACTGAATATTGAGGTTGAAGAGAAGTCAACCATAGAACAACAAAAACAATACAACAACAACACTAAACAAAATAACCACCAACTTTACCATAGCACTGCTAGATCATTAACGTGTGATTCATGTTAATGTGTGCCCTTGGAGTATATGTGAAGTAAGTTTAAAAAGAATATGTTTTCCAATGTAATCACTTTCATGAAGAATACATAATTATATTAAACTTATTAACATGTACCTTAATGGCACACATTAACAAACTCCTAAGTTTATTATGCAAGTTACTTTGTTATATATATATATATATATATCAGCAAAATATCTTTATTGATAACAAAAGCATGCATTTCATATGAGATTACATAAATAAAATGGTGAAAGTGCAAAGAGCATTAAAGCAAACTACCCCAATCCTAACTGGGTTGGCACCAAGGAGAAAGCCTAATCATTTGCTAGCACAACCACAAGAAATTGGTGAGAAACCAACAAAATACCAAGGAGAAGAAAATCAAAAACAACAACCACACACTAAAACCTCAGCCAAGCACCAAAACCTACTACAAAACAACTCAACTCTTGATGCATAACTTCATTTGATGCAGATTATACATAATGCCATTTACAGAGTAATTCAAAGAAGTTCAAAGAAGGGCAAGAAGATCTGATCCACATTGCAATCCTAATCTTTGTAACATCACACAGACCTTCAAAATCCACATGTGAGCCATCAAAGATACTATCATTTCTCTGCCTCCAAATGGACTAGAGTACAACAAAAGGAATAATTTTCCAGATCACCATCTCTTATTTTTTGAGCTTAGTACCAGCCTAGCAAAGGAAAAGGCTAACATAGACCCAAGCATTGCCCATTTTACACCCTACCAATCATTGATTTTGGACCAAATTCTCTAGATAAAAAGACAAAATAGCAACACATGATTGACACTCTCCAAATCATCATTACAAAAAATACAATTCACATTTGAACCACCACTAAGAAAACCAATTCTTTGAAGATAACAAGATGTCTTAATGCTCTCTTTCCATGATAACCAACCAAAAAACTGAGCCTTTGGTGGAGCCACATTCTTCCAAATGAAACCAATTACTTTACTAATATCCTTAGAAGATAGCGCACTCCATTTATAGGCAGAGGCAACAATGAACTCACCAGCTTTATCTGCATTCCATCTTAAGCTATCCATCCTACATACCCTAAGGACAGGAGCATTGAGTAGTAGCATATTCAGCCTCCCTAATTCCTTCACTTCCCACTGAAACAGAGTTCTTCTAAAAATAAGCTTCCATTCTTCATTACCATTTCTCCTACTCCTCACCACTTCTATAGATTCAGATTTGTCCAAAGACAAAGTATAATCCAAGGAATTCATCTTTTAAACAAACATTCTCAACCCAAATGTTAGTCTAGAATTTTGTTCTCCTCTCATTACCAATGTTAAGGACTATGTTACTTTTGAAAAATTCCACCATCTCAGGATAAGAACTAGCAACATCCATAATATCTCTCTAAATCATAAACTATTATTTTCAATAGGCAATGGCCACAATCCTTTTCTAACCTCTCTATACTTACTGCAGATCACCTGTTTCCAAAGGGCATTATCCTCAGTCTCAAATCTCCACCACCATTTCAAAAAAAGACATTCATTCATAAGTCTTACCTTTTTAATTCCTAACCCCCCTTGACTTTTTCTTCGTGTGATCTCTCCCCATTTAACCAAATGAATTTTCCTTCTAAGCTCATCACCTCCCCACGAGAATCTAGACTGTATTTTTTCAAGCTTCTTTGCAACTCCTTCTGGCATCTTAAATAAAGATATGTAGTATACTGGTAGAAAAGATAACACAGACTTCATCAACGTCAGCCTACCTGCAAATGATAAGAATCTCCTTTTCCAAAAAGCTAATTTTTGTTGCATTTGTCAATCACTGATTGCCAAGCCCTTCTTCTCCTTAGATTAGCTCCCAAAGGCAGTCCCAAATATTTGAGTGGCAATCTTTGATGCAAGGAATTTAGTTTAACAACAAATTCTTCAGTAAGAACATCATTGATCCCAATCCCACTGATCACATTCTTGTGGTAATTAATCTTTACCCTTGACATTATTTTAAAACATCTCAAAATCCTTTTGATGGTTATAATCCCCTCTCATTCTGCCTCACAAAATAATATTGTGTCATCTGTAAACTGTAGGTGAGTTATCTTTATATCATTTGAACCAACAGCTACCCCTTTAATCAATCCCATCTGCAAAGCTCTACCCAACAAGATGTTTAAACCCTCAACCACAATGTTAAAGAGAAATGATGATAATGGATCACCCTGTCTAAGCCCTCTTTGAGGTTTGAACTCAGATGTTGGTGATCCATTAACTAAAATGGAGATTTTGGCTGAAGATACACACTATTTCATCCAATTGATCCATTTAGAGCCAAACCCAAAATTTGACAGCATAGAGAAAAAAAACTCCCAATTGATTGAGTCATAGGCTTTCTCAAAGTCAAGTTTTAAGACAATGCCTTTTATCTTATGCTTCTTCCACTCATCCACAATTTCATTGGCAATCAACACTCCATCCAAGATATTTCTTCCCCCTATGAATACAAATTGGGAGTCACTAATAATCGTAGGCATTACTTGCTTGATCCTATTTGACAAAACCATTGCAAGAATTTTGTATAAAGAACCTATGGACTTATAGGCCTATACTCATTAAGGCAAGAAGGATTGTCATTCTTAGGGAACAAAGCAACAAAAGAACTATTAAATCCCATGAGCCAGCTTAGAATTTTGATGAAACTCCTTCATGAATTGAATTACATCACCCTTAATTGTCTGCCAACACCTCTGAAACATTATCAAGTTGAAGCCATCAGGTCCTGGTGCCTTATTTCCATCACAGTTGTTTATTTTTTCTACAATTTCTGCTTCTGAGAACTCAACTTCTAATGCGCCCCTAATCTCATCACCCCCAATAGACTTAAAAGAACCAGTTAAGCTTGGCCTTCTGAACCATGTTTCAGAACCATGTTTCAATAAAATGGTTCCCAAAATGCTGCAAAAATTCAGCCCTTATTTCTTTAGGATCTTCCTTGATAACCCTTTTAACATTTATTGAGCACAATACATTTCTATTATTTCTGGAGGAAGCCATAACATGGAAAAACTTTGTGTTTCTATCAACTTTTAATGCTCAATTAACTCTGGATTTCTGTAGCCATACACAATCCGCAATTTTACTGAGTTTCCAACCTTTCCCTTTTAACTCCCTTCTTATATCTAGTTCTTACTTGAGTTTAAACTCCACATTTCCAAAACCTTCATTATTCTGTTGTTTGAGTGCCATTTTAAGTGTTTTAAGTTTCCTTAAACATTTGAAACCATCCCATCCTTGTACAATGGTTTTAGGCCAAGTTCTCTCCATTAAGGATTTGAAGTTAGGATGTAAGGACCAAGCATTTAGAAATCTAAATGGCTTTGGACCCCAATCCCTCTCATCCTGAGCAAAATATGACAATGATCTGACACCCTTCTTAGTAAACCCCATAACTTGAAGTTAAAACTCTACATCCATTCTAGACTTAGCAAAAACCTATCAATTCTGCTCCACCTTTCCTCTTCTTGAGAGTTACACCAAGTAAATTTTCCCCCCATCATTTGGATGTCACACACTTCTAGACTACCAATTAGCTCATTAAAATCACGCATGCCCTAGGGGTGTAATTTCGGCCCGGCCCAGCCCATCCGAGCTCGAGCTGGCCGAGCCGAGCCGAGCCGAGCCCATGTTGGGCCTTGTGGGCTCCAGCCAAAAAATCGGGCCGGGCCAGAAAACTAGGCCCAGGGTATTCGGGCTTTGGGTGAGCCAGTGGGCTGGGCCTCGAGCCGGGCTCCTAGGCTTGGGCTTTGGGCGTGCTTGGGAGGGCCTAAACAATTTTAATTTTTTTTTTTATTTTTTCCACCAAAATTTTATTATTTTCCATTAAAAATAACACCGGGCCTCGGGTGGGCCGGGCTTCAAAACAATGGCCCAGGCCCTAGCCCAAGACCTCGGGCTAGGCTTGGGCTCGAGCCTAAATGGGCCGCTCCCACCTTAGGCTGCGGGCAGGTTTCGGGACGCCAGCGGGCCACAGGCCAAAATTACACCCATGTCATGCCCCCTGTCTCTCCTATAACAACCCTTCCTTTTAGAAATACTCCTGACTTCATTAAAATCACCATTCAAACACCAAGGTTTATCATACAATTGTTTTAGTTTAGTCAAAATGCCCCACACCTTCCTCATATTGTTACTATCATTCGGAGCATAAATATTTACAATAACACATTCAAAACTACAAAAGAGAGTACCTGACAGAATGATGAAGTTTTTTTTGTAGCAACAATCCAACAATTGAATAACATCTGGATTCCATATCACAATAATCCACTAGCTGCACCAATTGAATCCACTGCCATGAAATCCATCTTTTCTTCAGGCCAACATAATCTCACAAACTCTTCACTTATTAATGACCTCTTTGTTTCTTGTAATAACACTATCTCCATCTTTCTTTCAAAGAATAGTTTCTTTATTTTACTTTTTTTAGAAAGCTTACCTAGCCCTCTCACATTTTAGGATAATAACTTCATTGATAAGCAAATTCATATCTCTAAGCCACTAGGACAATATAACTCAAGCTGAATCTCCACCCCTCTTTATCATTCTTTAATTGTCTTTTCCTTCTAGCTCCACCAACTTACTTAACACTTCATCCTCATTCCCATCATAGTTTAGCCCAAGAACATGCCCTATTTGGAGTGATACTTTGGCTTCGTTAAACAATAATTGTCCACTACCTGACTTACTTGCCATTGATAATGAAATTGCTGCAACAACTGAACTAAAAACGGCTCCTTTCTTTAGGTTCAGAGAAGATCCTAACCAAATTTGGAGACTTCTCTCTTTTTCTTTTCTTTTTTTTCTCCTTGAAATCTTGCAGCTTCTTTAGCTTTCTCCTTCATGTTTGCTTTGTTTTTTTGAGCTATTGGTACAATCTTATTCACAACTACACAATGTTTTCCCTTTTCAATTCTATTATGGGCTTCCTTATGGGCTGAGTCTCTGAGTCACTTACCTCAGATAATCTTTGGCCCATCGTATTTCCACACTCTAAAGTATGGACCTGACTTAATATTACCTCAATATTAAGCCTAGGCCTAGTCATCTCAGATCCACTAAGACTCCCCACGAAACCTGGGGTGACAACTTCATCATTAACTCTTTGGTTGCCTTCATTTTAAATTTGCATAGAGTTCACCCGTAATACTCTAGATTTTTTTTTCTTTCTCTTCGCTCAAGCGTCAAATTGTGCGCTCGAGCGGTCTTTGTAAACTTCTAGCACTTTTACAAGTCTGCAGAGATATTGGAGGATGGTATTATTCGCTCGTGTGGTATTTCTTGACCTCAAGCGGTACTTCTTGTGCTCAAGCCATAGTCCTTTGTCTGCAAAACTTTTGAGAGTCGGCATTCTGCGCTCGAGCAGTCCCATTTATTGTGTCTCCTTGCTCGAGCGACACTTCTTGCGCTTGAGCGGTCTATTTGGGATCAACTAGTATAAAACCCACATTTTTCTCATTTTCCATCACTTTTCTCTCTTTTCTCTCTCTCTTTTTCTCTCTCTCTCTCTCTCTCTCTCTCTCTCTCTCTCTCTTATCCCTCCATAACCAAAAACCCTAGCCCTCAAACCTTTGATTTCACCTCATTACACCAAGGATCCGCCATAGATCATGCAAGATTAGTGAAGAAGGGGTGAAGATCTTTCTCTTGACTGATTGGATTGCGATTTCGTCAGAGTTCGTACTTGGGTCTTCGTTGTTTGCTCACCTTCTTGAGGTAGAGGGTTCTCTTAACTCTAATCTTTTAAGATTTAGTTTGATTATGTTGTATTATGGGGAAGTTTGGGTTGATTTGAGTTTGAAATCCTTGATTAAAAGATGTTTATGTTAAAAAAAATTAGGATTTTCACTCAACCCTTGAAATATTTAGAATGTTTTGGTACTTTGATGGTTAGTACTTGATGATATGAGGATTTAACAAAGAAATGAGGAAAACCCTCAATTTTATTGAAAACCCTAGAATTAAAATTTTAAAAAATAAAATAAAATTAAAAGAGGGTTTGAGTTAATCGGTATCTTATGTTGAAAATTAAAGTGATTTTCACGTTGATAAGTATGTTGGATGAATTTATTGTCTATGATAATATTATTGGTGATTTAAATTAGTTGAATCGTATGAATACTAAGAATGTTGAAAGGATGTAAAGTAATGTTTTGCATGGGTTGATACTTGGTAAAGGGTAGGACTTGGAATCTTGAAAATGAGAATAGTTCATTAGATTTTATGTGTCGAACTCTTGTGCAATTAAAAAGGAATTTCGGGATAAAGATGAAGGTTTGAGAACTCATGCATTGCATTACATTTCCAGGGGGTTGGATTAAAGATTGGATCATTTAAAGGTGTGTGTGTGTGGTTTCGGAATGCGTTGTGTGTGTTGAGGTGCCAATTGCCCTTCCGTGCTCGATGGCCGGAAAATGTAGGGGATGTCATTGATATTTTGGTACAGGTGCCCTTCCATGTTAAGCGTCGGTAAATGTGGAGGAAAGTTGAAATGATTGATGAGTGTTCAATTGCCCCTCCATGCTCGATGCCCAAAAAATGTGGAGATGTTTTTAAAATGAAACGGGTATCCAATTGCCCCTCTGTGCTTCATGGCCGGTAAATGCGGAGGTTTTCAAAAAGTAAAAGGTGCCCATTTTCCCTACCGTGCTTGGTGGCCAATAAACGTGGGGAGTATTTTGAGTTGTCTTATATGGAGTTTGTTACAGAATGAAAGTTCTTGGTTTCAAGGATGGTTAATGAGTTGAGTCACATGGGTTGTAAATCATGTATGTCAGAATTTGATTTCCAAACAGAGTTAAGTCGTAACATGGCATGACATTGCATTGTACAATCATATTAATCACACACACATTAATTACATTTGGTTATGCTAAGTTTACTTCTTACTATGCGTAAAAGCTCACTCCCTTTTTTATGGGCTGGACATCCTAAAATTCCAAGTGATGAAAGTGAACCTTGAGATTGTTAAAAAAAAAGATAGAGTCCAACATGGAGCACAAAAGCTTTTTTTTTTTTTTATGTTGATTGCCTATAGTTACTGAACTTATTTGTCAAGTTAGGTTTTTGTTTGTTGAAATCAAGACTCCTAGTCTTGAAAGGTGAAAGGCTTTACGGCAATTTTTGATGTATAATTTATATTACAGTGTGTTGTAAATTATTACAATAAACCTGAAGAGGAATACATGAGAATATGACAGATTTCAGTTTAGTGAATTGTTTACATTTATTTATTGTTTATATGAATGTCATGAAGTTGGACAATAATAAGGGCTTGGTAACAAATTATATGGTGTGAATATCGGGGTGTTACAACTTGGTATCAGAGCTCACCAGGTTTGAATACCTTGGGTTCGTAGGAAGTGATGCTTGTCACAATGGGTTGCTAGTTTAGAATGGGACGTTTACGTGCTTACTCTTATGTGTGTTTGCTGATTTGATTATATAGGTATGGGATTAAACTCCTGAGATAAAGTTTGTGTCTATGAATTCTCAGGAGTCCTGTTAG